TGCTTCCTCCGCTGCGACTGGCGGGCCGGCGTGCCGGCTGCTGTGGGCGCACAGCGCTTCCCCACCGCACGGGGACGCGGGCACCGTCTTGCCGCAGGCGCGGTGGCGACGGGCACCGGTGAAGTCCCGGCGCGCCGGTCTGGCGTCTGAGCAGGCGGCGAGAAGGGGTTTGAAAGCAGAGCATCACCTGGTTTCGGTCCCTGCGTCACATGGCTGGTTGCGGAGTCGGCTGTGCTCCCTTTACTTTGCTCTTACTCTTACACTGGCTGCTGGGCGTCACTAACAAAGTCGGATGCTTTCAGGGATTTGCAGGGGCTTAGAGAGGAGCCAGGCTGCAGTCTCCTGGGGAAGCTGGGAGAGGATCTACGTATGAAGCTGTCTGCTATGCAAATGCTGTGTTACGTTTCAGTAGCGACTCGTGTCGAGAGGTTGAAGTGAGCCTACGATTGTGAAACCGCTCCGTGACTAAACTCCAGTTGTTCAAGGTGTTGAACTTGTTTCTACTTTTTTGCGGCTTCTGAAAATTAGAAGCCAGTTTGTGTAAACTGTTGCGACAGGGTAGAGTCACTCTTCTGACCATTTGCATCTCGGCTCGGGTCCATGGTGGGGATAGACTCGCTGCTGGTCCAGTCCTTGGCTGTTGTCCACTGAGCAAAGGACACGGACAAATACATGTTGTAGCTGCTGTAAGAGGAGAGTGGGCAGCCGCTGTTAGAGTCACTGTTAGGTCTCGCGAGCCTGTAGCAATATAAGTGAGCTCAGTCGCCCTGATGTTGATGCTGGAGGAATTGGGATTAAATGTCTTGCGGATGTTGCTGTCACAGTTCCTGCAGGTCAGACGCAGTGTTTGGCACTTCAGACAGAGGATGGGTCAGCACAGGGCTGTGCTCTTTGTTCCTGGGGCATGCACAAACCCAGGCGTTTGTGTGGAGATAGCTTTACAGGCCTGCTTTACTCACCTGTGTGACGGCCTCAGAGCCTTCCTGCAGCTCTGACTCAGTGCTGTAGAAATCTGTATGACTCTTGCAGGCAAAGTAGATGGGAATTTATGATGAAGACAGTTACAGAGAATTTTGGTGACTTAACTGCGTGCTAAAACATAAAAGGAGTTTTGCTTTCTGACTGCTCATCAGCTTCTGAGTGAAGGTTTCCATTAAACATGGCAGTGGAGATTTAATGTCTTGACTTTTGCAATCCCCTGTTGACTTATTGGTAAGAAAACACAGTGACATGCTCCTATTCAAAAATAGTGTTGGAATGTTCTTTTCAGCTTCCTTGCTAGACCACCGACTCTCCAAGAGGAGCTTTGCAAGACCAGAGAAGCCTGCTTTGCAGTGTGGAAGCATGTAGCCTGTAGCCTTCTTTTTTAAGGGGCTCTTTACAAAGTAGCAGCAATCAGATAGAATGATTAGACTCGTTCATTAAACTAGAGCGGTGCAACTGCATGCTTGTTGGCTTTCAAATGTTCGCCCTATTCCCTTGACTACATTTGGTCAGAGAGGTAAGCTTCCTGGCTCTCTCTAAGCTGAACTTGCCAAGCCTGCATAACTTGCATACCTTCCACAGCTAACAGCTCTAAAATAGGCTTGTCCAGTCCGGTAACAGTCCTGCGTACTGGGGAGGTCCTTTAAAAAAGCAGCTTTTCCTGCCCTTTGTAGCATCTGAACAGGAACTTAGGGAACCAAAGGCAAATTTTTGCTTCCCAGTTCTGGCATTGTACATGAAGGTACACGGAATTGGTGATGTAAGTGCAGGTGTGCACACACTCATGTATATGTACAGTACCCACTGTACTCTTGGGTCCAGGTATTTGAGAGATCGTGTGTTGGCAGAGCCTACGTGTAGCTTGTATAAGGTTTGCCCTGCCTAGTGCTCTGTAATTTTTGGCAGTTTATCGTTCATCCTAAACCAGGACTGCTGCTGTCATTCAAGTGGTCACTACCATTCCTTGCCTCAGGTGCTCCTGTGTGTAACTGATGTACCGGTCTGACCAGCACTGTGGACTTGATCAATATGCGCATCACATAACTTGTCGTGCTCTTGGACATCTCCATGGGACGCAACTGACTAAAGCAGCTGAATGAAATGACCAGATTCCCTTGTTCTGGCCTTTCCTATCCTTTATTGTGGCATCAACACTATTTGTGTTAATAGGCACAACCTAGACGTTCATGGGAGCATCTCAGGTTTAGCACCGTGTCTTTTTTCAGGCTATATCTAGCAACTTCTTTACCATCCTGTTCTAAGCCAAGCTGTGAGCAAGAAAGTTTCAGAGCATCTGTGGTCTACTGTCCCTGATGAAAATAAACTGGACAGGAACTTTTAAAGGTGGGTATAGAAGGTATAAGAGATTAGTTTCTGTGGTATGTGTATGCTGCTGTTGGCTTTGATAAGATAGTGGAGGATGCATTTGAATTTGAATTGCCTTAGGACTGTCATTTTGCTGTGACTTTTGCCTGTGGCTGTCTGCAGTGGTGCTTGGGTTAAAATGATTCAGTGCTGCTGTTTATAAGAGACAAAAGTTGTTTCAAGCCTTATCTGTAAGGGGAACCCACACGTGACTGTCCTAGCATTCCTTGTTCCCCTGCCTGCAATACTTGGTTTTGTTGTGGCTACCTGACTGCTCCTTCCCTCTGACAGCAACCCCGTCCAGTGTCCTATTTGGTCAGTGGCTTCTTGTCCTAATATCAGTAACTGCTGTGGTTCCTAAATGCTGACAGTAGGCAAGAGAGCAGTATTTCTAAGTGCTGGGGTTTTGCCACTTCTAAAAAAACAAAAAAAAAACCCCAAAACAGTGCAAAATCCTGAACTTTGGCCGTGAAAGGTCTAAAGCAAAGCAGACTTTCCATTTACTATATTAAGCACTTGTTTGAAGACGCTAAACTTTTTTTAAGCTTTTCAACCTTGTGCTAACAAAAGGGAGAGATGAGACTCATGGTACCAGCTCAGTGCATATTACTATTTCTTCTACAGTGCTTGCTTGGATGCTGCAAGCCTCACACTACAAAGAGGACCTGCCCTGGCAGTCTTATTTCAGGTGTGAGGCAATGAAGGGGGGCGGGGATCAGATGAGTGGGACGGAGGACAGAGATTACTCAGCAAAGATGAGTGCACAGTGTGGTGAAGCCCGACCTGCTTCAGATATACTATATGCATAAGCTCAGGCTATGGACAAACATGCACTTTTTGCTGCTGTAAAAGTGGAGAGGGAGCATGAGCATGCAACAGCCGTTCCACCAGAATGATTGTGTCTGTGTGACTCTGTAGGGGTACAGGTGAGCCAGAGTGCCCCAACACTGACCCTGGAAAGCTGGAACGGTTATGCTGCACCAGTATTGCCACAGAATTGTGAAGAGATAGCAGCCTGAACAGGTATGCTGTGGTCTCAACGTTGGGGTCTCCACACCATGGTCACGCCTGTCTCTGCCCTTTGACTCTGCTTGTTGGTGTGCTGGCAGGGGGGCCCTGTGGAGCAAAGAGCACTGGCCTGGTGACCAGCTCAGGATATTGTGTGTGGCACAGGGAGTGTGGAAGGGGCTGCAGCTGGAGGGAGGTAACATGCTGAAGCAGTGTTGTCTAGGCCTTGTCTGTGCTCAGAAGTCAGACACGGGGACTGTGCTGGTGCAGTTGCACCTGTGCCAGCTGCAGAAGGGCACCTGCCTCCAAGCCACAGGCACTTAACTCTGCGCCTGCATCCTGTCCACTCCACAGCGCTCACCATCATTGCGCAGTGGAGACAGAGGGGTCTAAGTGCCACCATTGTACATGAAGCCCTCTGTCAGCAGCCTTAGCCTGATTTGCCACATATCCATTTCTGTTTGCACGTGTAGCTCCTTGGGGTGACTGCTGGCTGGAGTGGAAGCTGTAACCAGTTAGGGTTTGGTGGACTCTTTCAGGAGACCATCTGTGTTCTGGCAAGCATCTGAGGGGTCAGGTACTGCATATGCATGCAGCCTGCTTTTCAGGGTAATGTAAAAATGGGCTGGGTTACACCAAGCTACATGGTGCTTCTCTTGTGGAAACTGGTCACCTGCATCACTACAAACAAAGGTTCAAAATGCTTCAGCTCGTGTCAAGCATCATGTTGAGCCCCACGTCTCTAGTGACAGTCTTTCTCCTTTTCATAGCTGGAGCATGGTAACCAACAGGTGAATCATTAGCTCTGGTTGTGCAGGGCTTGGTGGCAGCAGTACCTCTGCTCAGGACCTGTAGCACAAGACTTGCTTGCACAGAGACACTGTCCAGAAACCTGTAGTTTCTGCTGAGCAAGTCATGGAGTCTCTGTTCATGTTTGCATTAAATACATGTGTGGCTTTTTCTAGTTGGAGAGTTCATTCCTGAGAATAGCAGAGTAGTTTGTGTGCAGGGAGTGCCTCAGTAGTGGAGAATAATGGGTGATCTGTACCCAAGGAAGTAGGATGTGTCATGCACATCTAAAAAAGTCACTCTTAGCCAAAATTAGGTATTAGAGGGCACCACCCGAATTGTGCCTTTGCTTCAGAAGGCATTTGCAGTCCTGTTGCTATTAAGAATTTCCAAAAGCTACAGGATGAGTGCACAATATGTGATCTCTGGGAAGAGTCAGAGAGGCTACAGTGGCACAGGCTTGTCTTGCTTAAAGAGAACTATGGCCAGCTTTTGGCATGTTCCCCTTGAGAAGAGCCTGTATTAGTGCTGCTTTCGCTCATAGTCCCGGAGCAGTAGCAGTCAATTAGGAGGTAGGAAGTGTTTCCCTCTTGCTATAGTGTTAGCACTACATCCTTTCATTGTTTCTCCGTGGCATCCGCGCTGATGATTTGGTCACGTAATCACATTGCTTAAAAGCCCCCTCATCTTCAGCTGCTTTTTATTCTCAGGATGTTATGGCATCATCTCCTTTTAAAGACCACACAAAGGGAAGCCTTGTAGGCAGTTAGCTGCTGTTTGATTAAAGACGACCCTATCAATTTCAGCTGAACTGCATTCTGGTGTTAGTCTAAATAAGGGTTGTGTTATCTGCATTTGCAGAGGAGACTTGGGGATACTCTGGATTTTCTACATACACTGCCATGTGGTGCGTGCTCTGTTGAGAAGCTGGTACTAGGATTGCTGAAGTTTCATGTCTATTGTAATTCCCTGACCAAAGTGTTTTCTTCTCCTCTGAGCTGTAAGTAGAGTTTGAAGGGGGTGTCTGTTTTGTTGGCCCAGTGTATTTTCATTAGCATTCTGAGCAGGTGGTAACCACTTAATAACCCTGTAGGTAATTTGAAATGCATATGTTAGAATGGCGCCTTTCTGCCCTGTCTGGGGTATAGCACAACTTAAATCTTCTATTGAAACCAGTGGCCACACTTCATTGTAAAGAATAAAAATGTCAGCACTCGCCTGAATCACGTGATAGCCTCTGTGCATGCAAAGGAAGCCTGCCTGCAGCTCCTTTGTGGAATTCCTTTATGGCACCTGCAGTCACTGAAGCCATAAAGGGAAAATAAAATCCTGGGTAATAAACATGCTACCTGATCGTTGAACTGATACCTGCCTGGCTCAGTGCGAGCTGCATGTGACATGGAGCTTTTCTGATGATGCACAGAGCTGGTTCAGGGTGTGCCGAGCAGTGGCCGTCTTTCCCCAGTGCCTCCACAACACTGTAGTGTTTTATTTCTAGGGTCTCCCTCTGCATTGCTCTGTGGCCTTCTTGGGGTCTGCACTATGCTGCTTGGCTGTGCCTATGAATATAGATTTTTTTTTTTTTTCAAGGTTTGGGGTGCAGAGCCCGGATGTCTTCCAATGTCTGTCTGCAGTGCTAAAAGTTCAGCCTGTGAGTGAGAGAGGAATTGTGGGAAGACAGCCTTTGCTCTAAGTTTTTCTATCCGGCACAAAAGTGACACTCCTGCTGACCATCCCAGCCCTCTTCCCCTGCCACTAATCAAAGAAGTACTGTTTGGCTGTCATTCAGAAGCAGAATTTCTCTTTAAATGATTTAGTTTGGGGAGGAGCTGGAATGTGTCTTTGCAGATTTCCAGGAGCATTAACCAAAGCTTCCTGAATGGAGACTCCCCCAACCCCGTGCTTCTAAAGAAGGCTTTGTTCCTCCCAACAGGCTGGTAAATCAATACACCGGTTCTTTGTGCATGTCTGAAGCTTTTAAACGGCTGCACTCAGTCTTGCTTCATGGGCTCTTTGAACTGTGTGGATGGTCTTTCATTTCATGTCACTTGCTTTTCCTTTATAAAATTGTTACGTTTCCAAAGGTTCGTTAATGTTTCAGAGGGCAAAAAGTGAAGAGTGCTTCTCAAAATCATTTGTTAGCCACATTGTTGCTGCCTCCTAAGGCAGCAGTACTAATGTGATGTATACGTCCTTAAAAAAAAACAAAACAAAAACAAATGAACGAAAAAAACCCTTTAATTCACTGGCTGCTCCCTGCACCTCTCCTCCTCATATCCCCAGCAGATATTTGCTTTGCACCCAAAGGCTAGCAGAGCTGACTTTTTCCTTCGCTCTTGGGAGGCAGGGTGGCTGAGGGGCAAGGGGGAGAGGGTGCCTTGTGAAGTAGGATGCTGTACCAGCCCTTGGCCCTGCCCTCACAGATTCACAGTCTTTTACCTTTGTGGTGCTTTGTTTGCCTACATTTTGAATCTGTCCCTTTAACCCCAAATCAAAGGTCTGTTGCTCATCTGGGGCCTACTCGGCTTTACACAACCAGGTTTCAAGGGAGGCTTCCTAATGGGCATCTGGGTCTGGTATTAGGGCAGGCTGGAGAGCTTTGTCTCAATGCCACACACCTCCTCATGGGAGGGGCTTCTGAGGACATAGGACACTGTTTTGTGGGACTGCTGGGTTTTTTTCAGTGATTTTAACCGGCCATTGTACATTCCCCAGCTGACAAGTTGAGTCATCGTTGTGGTTTTTCTGTGTTAAACTTGAATAATACCAGTTTAAGCTGTTTGTTTGGATCAGGGTAGTGTCCAGTGCAGTTTCTCATCCATTGGAATGTGCCCTGAACCCTCTGATGCAACCTGAGTAGCAGTTACATGGGGATGAATTTTAGTTGATCCTTTTAGAGGCTGTCAGGTCTGTTCTGTCCTAATTTATTTGAATGCAGCATTGTCTTCTGCAGCTGAGAGACCAGTGGACACTAAAAATGGGGCAGTCTCACACAGTAATGTGCTTGATAGAGACTGAAGGAAACGAGCTTAATAGACACCTTGGGGGTGATGCCCCTGCCCTGCCTGTTAGAAATACCTGGCATTGTGATCCATTGCAAGTGAAAGTGCCGTCCAGCATGGCAGCTGGTGCTGGGGAGCGAAGCCCCTGGTGCATTGTGACTGCCTGGGGCTCCTACGGTTCAGCTCTAGAGCTGCCGAGTTTTGCAAGAGGATTCCCGTCTGGCTTCCTTTCCTGCAGATCTACAGGTCTGAGAGGCCTCTGGCCTCTGCCTCCCTCTGCAAGTGCGTAACACCATTCCTGTTTTTATCTTCCAAGTCCAGCATGCGCTGAAATGCCAGTTATGAGAACCTAACCAGCTCTCCTGGAAACCAGAGCTAGAGTCCCCCTTCCCTCCCAGCCACTCATGCAGGGAGAGTCTTGCTTTCCAGCAGTATTTTGCTGCCAGCAGCAACTGGCTTGTGCAGGAGAATCTGTTCAGCCTTCTGTGCCGGGGCAGTGGGTCCTCTGCTAGAGATCAGTAGGCCAAACATCCATGCAGAGAAAATCAAAACCTCCCCTGGCAGCCACTGATTCTGAGAGGTCTTGTTGACTGTTTCCACTGCAGTGTCTCTTCCTTTCTCTTTCTTTTGCTGACGTTTCAAAAGTTTGATGACAAATTGTAGCCGCCAGGAGTCTCCAGGGAAAAGTGATTCATTTGTCTTGCGCACATGTTTCACTCGGAAGCATGGGAACTGCACTTGTAACTCACGCTTGCCTCCCTTGTTTTGCCTGCAGTGTTTCCAGATGGGAAATGCTGTAAAAGTTTCAGGAACTTTGCTGATCACATCAGTGATGCAAAACATCTGAGCATGAATATTCCCTGGTTCAGCTTCTCATTGTTTGCTTGAGTTGTCTTGGTTTCTGGAGGCTGCTGCTTGGAGATTTAAAAAGTGGATGTGAGCTTCTCTTCCAGCTCCCAGGCAGTGTTATGTAGCGTACACCAGCTTTTGTTCTTGGGATGCAATCTGCAAGGCAGATGGAGCTATTTCATGTGCAGTCCTCTGTCCTACACCCAGCTGCAGCTGCTGCAGTGAGAGAAGCAGCTGTGGTGCCTGTATTTGTGGAGTGGTGGCCAGTGCATCTGAATTCTAGGTTCAAAGCAATAAGACTTGCCACTTTTACTGTCTGCTGTGTACTCCCTGAATTCTAGCAAAAAACAGGTGGTTTTGCCTCCAGGATAGAGACAAAAGGCAGTCAGTCTTCTCTGCCTTTGTCAGCCAACCTCAGGAACTGCTTCCAGGGTGCAGAGGTTCCTAAAAAGGGGTTTTGCTTGCTTTCCTTTCTTTCTGAAGACAAAAGCCTGTTGCTGGGCCCTTGCCGTGCCCTTCTAGACAGTCCTGTCCCCAGAAGGTCATTCTTCCTCAGGGTGTGCTCTTGTTGTAAACAGCTTCTAGACTGCTGGGGTGTTGGTTTCTATGGTTTACTAAACTGGAGACTGGTGCTGGAATATTCATGCAGGCCTTGTGAACAGGCCAGGGGGTCGGAGCAAGCCCTGGCTGTAGTGTTCTCCAGGTTGTCGACAGACTTAGCTGTCGCTTCCCCAGTTCAGTTTTGGCTTATTCTTCAGTCTCATAAGGGCTGCAGCCTGAAATTTAAACTCACTTTAAGAAAAAGTTCTTGGAAGATTTCTATGTGCACTGTAGTTTGCTTGGCAGCACAGTCACTTTGTAGGTGGGGCTCTGCATCCTGTACAACGCTGACAGCCTGGCCCCCGTGTCTCTAAGGAATGCAGTGCAGTTATTCTCCAACTTATTTTTTTCCCATGAGCAAGCAGGATGTGAAGAGGCTCCAGTTGGCCTGGCCAGCTATGTGGGAATGTGACGTCCTCACAAAGGGAAACTGGAGTCTGAGACTTGCACTTGGTGTTTGGAGGAGCTGAAAAGCTTCCTGTTCCTCTTCGGCACTCCCCAGCTGACGTAGGGCTAATGTCCGGTGTGGCCCACTGGTGTTGTAGCCAGCTGGAAGGAAGCTCTGCTTGTTGGCAGGGAAGCTAGAGATCCCATGAGGCTTTTGGGGAGGGGTGGAGCTGCAGGCTATCTTTCTGTAGGGCTTGCAGAACCGGATTGTCATCTCTGGCTTCTGTCGCTGCTCTCAAAAACCAAGCTGACAAGGCAACTGCCCTTCAGGTGCAGACACAGCTGCTGATCTTGGGTTAGGCCTGCCAGTTCTGGTGGCTTCCCCTTAAATATGACTTAGGCTTTGGTCCTTATTCAAAACCTAATTAAAGTGATTGGCTTCTCAGCAGGCTGCTGGCGAGCCAGGTATCAGTGTGATGCAATGGCAAGACCACTCAAAATGGGAGCCTCATCGCAGCAGCGCCCAGACCTGGAGGGACCAAACCAAGTGTCGTTCAGTCTTCTGGTACCTGTAGGAAAAGGGAATCCTGCCAGTGGCTGTGTTTTGGGACTCTGAAGGTGATGCATCCTTTAAAGAAACCTTTGGGGAAAGGCAGCGAGTGCATTTGTGCTCCTGCTCGCTGTCATTCATCTCTACAATGATGCATGGTTGTGGCTGAAGCAGAATCTTTCTTCGCAGGTTCCCGGGCTCTGGAGAAGGAAACTGCCGCAGCTAAGCTATTGGCCTTTGGACCACTTTCCTGCCTTTTGCCAGGGTTGTGCAATGTCAGTAGATGCAAAAAAGGGAAGATTCTTCCTGGCGTTCTGGGACAGCCGCCCTTGCCTTTCTTCCCTTTGCTGCTGGGACTTTCCTGGGTTTGGCATTTGCTGTTTGTTCTTGAAGGAGCCAGCTTGAAATGCACTTGATTCCCAAACACTTCAGGTCCTCCCCGGCGCCAGAGCCTGCCTGTTTGCTTTGGGGGTGGTTGTGTGTTTCCTGTTTCTAAACTTTCTGCGCTGCTGCTGTAGGAGATGTCAGGGTCCAACAGGAAAAAACTGCTCGAAGAGAAAACAGTGAAGCTGACTGGACAGAAAGTGCACCAACAGATGCACAAATTCAAGAGCAGGTTTTCCTCTAGTGGCTTGGCCTAAGCTATTTTAGGAGTTTGCAACAATGGTGTTTTTTAAGCTTGCGTCCTTTTAGCAGGGGAGGAGGCAAGCTCCTCCCACTGCTTGTACTGAAACAGCTCATTGTGAAAGTGCTGACTAGACCCTTTCTGTGGGTTTGCGCAGCCCATCTGGCCCAAGTGTGGGAACTTAACCTGATGCTGCGTGTGGTCTTTGCCCCAAGAGCAAGGGCCTGAAGTACTGAGTAAATGAGAAATGGCATTCTCACAATACAGTACCCAGTCGTGTTTAGAAATGTCCCTGCTCCAGACTATAACACTGCAATGTATGTTGTCTCATTACGAAAGTCTGACTTTTTGCCACATCTGCATTATACTTGGGTTCAGTTGCAGTGTAAGTAAGTGCCAGTGGAGTAAAACTGAAGCTGGGGTAAGCAAAGCTGCAAGAAATAGTGTGCAAGTGTTAAGCCATGTATTTGTGGTGATTAGCCATTGGGCATTTAACATGCAGTAACTGCCTGACTCAAGGCCCAATGAACCTTGTACTTAAAGTCTTACTTTGAGATGTGACCTAATGCAATGAATTTTAATGGGCTTTTTTGTTTTTTTGAGCCGCTTATTAGCTTGATCTGAAAAGAGACGTTATTTTGCAAGAACTCGGCAGCAAGCTCTGTTTGTCTTGCTCTCTGAAATGTAAGCTCTGTACCTGTTAACACTTTACTGCAAATGGAAATTAAATGTTCAGTTCTGGAGAGTCAGTTTTCTTCCCTGCTTCCATGGAAGCGTGGTGATGGCACTGTTCACTTTCATATAGGTAAAATAGTCCATGATCAGTCACCCTTTAAACCTCTGTAGCAAAGGCATTTTCTATCCTAACGTTTGACTGAATTATTCTCGGCTCTAAATGATCCAGTTTATGCCACAAAATGTCAGTGTGAAGGTTCCTTTAGGCAAGTACTCGTTCATCTGTGCAGCACTGTGCACCCCTGTGACTGCAGTCGCAGCTTCCCAATCCCTTTGTGCTCTCTCGGGTGAGAACAGTGGCTTAGGGATCATCATAACACAAGATAAATGCACAGGCTGCAGATTGCCAGAGTCTTATCGTAACCCAAAATAATCCTGAACTGTAGCATCAAGCCTGTCTCATTTCACATTACAGAGTCTCCGACCTTCTGACCAGCCAGCTTTCTCTGGGGTGATGCATCCTGTCTCCTGAAACATTGGAAAACCTAGTTTGGAAGAAGAGTAAAGATACAGTTGATGCTGAACAACGTGAGTCCTCAGATTGTTCTGTTTATGATAATGCCACGTGTGCCAAAGGGTCCTGTGGGCACTGGTCACAGGTTTCTGCAGAGGCAGTTGGCTCCTGCATCTTCTCAGCTGTGATGATGGAACTGTTGGGAATGGAGGGGTCTTAGGCAAGGTCAAGACAGTTTGTGGTGCATCATGAACGGAGGTGGGGTTTCTGTGCTACATAAAACAGGACACTGCTCTAAGCACTGAACTTCATGAAACTTCATTTAGTCTTGCCTTCAAAGACCTGGATTGATCAGGATCAGTAACGGAGCATCCTGGCTGCCTCACCTCCACTGCTGCCCATCATTGCTATCCCTGCCAGGCAGCGAGATGCTGCTGTATAAACCCATGCACTGCTGTCAGTGCCCGTCGGCAGGGAGAAGGCAGGGTAAGTTTGTCACCAGTGAGGCTTCTGGAGGAGTGAGCTCCCCACTCCCCTGTTGGCAGGGTGGGGGCTGATCAGTCTGATGCATCCTGTGGAAAAGCAGCCTCCCCCTCTGCCTTGGGGATTATACCTGGCTTGGTTTAGACCTGTCTGGGGTCAGGAATATGGGGAAGTGTGGGCAGTTTGGAGAGGGCTTGTCATTGTTCCTTGTCAAGTGCTTCCCAAGTGGTCAGTGCAGCTAGTCGATGAGGCAGTCTTCTTACAACTGCTCCTTCAACGAGAGCTTTACAGTGGTGCCTGCCTCCATTGCCACTGCAGGCATGGGATCCCTCCTCACAGCGTGCACTCTCTGCCTGGAGGAGAGCAAATGCAGTGCTGCTCCACCGACTGGGAAAGAGGTTCTCTTCCTGCTGAGCTGAGGCCAAATATTCCCCTAGAAGGAAAGATGGGTGTGACCAGTCGGAGGTTTGGGCTGATGTGGACCTTTAGGGTATTGTATCTGCAGTGCTTCCTCGCTCTGCAGAGATGAGCAACCGGAGGCACCTACCTCTTAGGGGAGCCTGAGTAGAAACTAAGCACCCGCTGAAGCCTTGGCCAGGGAAGCTCAGGGACTCGCTAGTTCTGTCTGGCTGTACTACGACTCCTAAAAGTGAGAGACCTCCTGTAATGGACGTGCACGTTCACATGGGTGGTGCTGCTGGGGCGCTCAGGTCCAGGTTCCCCAGAGTTTTGTTTCATGAAACATTTCTCTACTACAGCACCTCTGCTCAGAGCTATTAAGTGTCCCAGTTCCTTTAGATAGTAGCAAACCAGCACTTCCTGCACAGGGAAGTGCAAAAGAGGCCATGATGATTATTATTTTTATCTTTTTTAAGATATAGGGCTGAAATTTCCTGTGTTTCGGCTCAGTCCAGCTGCATAGACGCAAGAAGGGAATAAAGGAGTTTGTCATAAAATGAACAGATTACAGAGGGGTAGGGGGATGGCTCATTTTTGGTAAATTTTAAAGAAATGTTTACAGTTTACAAATGAGATGAACTAACTGATACTCCTCAGGTAATTCCTGTGCCCTCCCTCTGCCTCTCTCCATTTTTAGGAAGGCTTGGAAGGTACCAATTTTGTGGTTGTGATCAATTAAAGGCATTAGTCCTCAGACTGCTGTCTTTGTCTTCCTGACGAGTTGGCTTTTGCAGTTAAAACTTAAATCCTTTACTGTGAACAGACCTCCAGGGCCCCATGGCCTGAGCTCACAGACTTATGGGTAATGAAGGAGTAGAGGCCCATTCTTCTGAGGCATTTTTAGAGTGTGTCCATTCATAGGCTTATTTGGTTGTAAAACAAACCTTCATTATTTTGATTCTTCCCCACTACATCTGTTAGAAACTAATTTTCTAGGAACACTGCGCTGTGTGTAACAAGGCTGACTTGTACCTTCTAGAAATGCACAAAGCCTATAGCCCTCAATTAATCCAGGAGTAAATGAGCCATAGCTTTTTGTCAGTAGGAACTGCCTTCCACTACGTGAGTAGGTGGAGGCACAAATGCATCATCAAGTAAAAGGCTTCCAGCACAAGATAGAGGGTTAGCACAAGGAAACTGGCCTGGTTACTCATCGACGTGTGATCTTCTCTTTCTTTCAAGAGCTGAGGATGAAGCGGCGAGCATCAGACAGAGGAGCTGGGGAAACATCTGCTAAGGCAAAAGCTCTTTGTGCTGGGATTTCTGGAAATAATGCCAAGAGAGCAGGCCCTTTCATCCTAGGTAAGCACAGGGGTTTTTATCATCATATGCACTAGTTTTGGGGGATGTTAAGTGGCAAAGTTTCCGGAAAATAGAGCCCAGAAAAGGGACAAGACAGAATCTTATTAAAATCTTCAAACATATTGATCCAAAAGAGCAATCCTTAGAGCTGCTGTCTTGAGGATATCCCAGGGTGTTTGTAATGCAGGTTTAGCAAAGTTGGCATAGCTATTATGGGGACAGCCACGAACCTCTGATTTATTTTTTTTAATTTATTTTTTTTTTTCCCCTTCCCCCTTGAATATCTGACTTGTGCTTTATAGCAGATCCTTGGAGGTAGGTGTGGTAGGGTCCTCTAGAAATCCTTGGGCTGTGTTCAAGACTCCTTTACACTGAACATGCTTTAAATCAGCATGCACACATTTTATTAAGACGGTGGTGGTTCTGTCCTGGGCACAGAACCTGCAGACTTTGTCTAAGCGCTTGGACACTGCTTGATTCCTAGAGCACTGCATTACTCTGGTCACTACCTCCAAGTTACCCTGTATGAAAATGGAGATGGTTGGATACTAGAAATGGACTGATGTAGCTGGAGGAACAAAATGGGTGGCTGCTTCGGTGCATTGAATAGATTTATGGAGCCATGCCTGCAGCACTGGCAGTTTGGGGTCGGAGTCCAGCCGTGGCTATTCCTTACTGTGGCAGATGCTAACAGATGTAAGCGCTGTATGGTTCAGGCATGCAGAAAGACATTTTTAAAAGAAACGGCTGTACAATGCGCAGTGTTTTGCCAAAGGTCGTTCCTGTGAACAAATGAGCCATTGTCCAAAGTGGCTCCAAAATTCAGGGTCCTTTGTTTTCTTAAGATCAATGCAATTTCTGGGGGGAAAGCACTGCACAGTGTGGACATTCATACCCTGCTGAAAAAAGGAACTTGATTTAGACTAATGTAAACTGCATGACAGCTGAATATTGACATAACACTGCATTAGTCATCACTTTTTAAAGGCAAACAAGTCTGTTCTGCTTTGTGCTGTCAGGTCCTCGTTTAGGTAACTCCCCAGTGCCAAGTATTGTTCAGTGTTTGGCAAGAAAAGATGGGACAGATGACTTCTATCAACTGAAGGTAAGGGAAATGCATAAGGGGAAGATCTGGGGAAGCATTTTAACCCCCTGCTCCTTGAAATGAGCTGCCAACATATGGGGATGTTTCTGTAGTCAGAAGCTGTGCATGCTAGGGAAAAGCCTGCTATAATTTCCCACCAGCGGTTCATCTCTACCAGCTGCTGCACTGGTGTAGCTCTGAGATGATTCTACCTCCGCTGCTGCTCCCACATAATTAGATGATACTGTATTTAAACCACCAGTTGCTTCTTGGAGACCTATCTTCACAGTTGCCATTGGAACTGAAATGGTGGTGGCAGGAAGGGATAACAGCTGGGGTTACTTTGCAAATAGTAACCCAAGTGTTTCCTGTAAGCTAATTGTATATGCGCCACATCACTCTGCACAGATGTTAGCTCAGGTTTGTGGCAAGTACGTAAACATTAGAGGAAACGCATTCCACTGTTAAACACGCATGTAAACACTTACACAGTGCAGTAGTGGCTCAGGATTTGGGGTCACTCTGGTTTTCCTGAGAGGAACGTGGATTTTTTCCTTTCTTGTAGATCCTCACGTTGGAGGAGAGGGGTGACAAAGGAATTGAAACCCAGGAGGAACGACAGGGCAAGATGCTGCTGCACACAGAGTACTCTCTCCTTTCCCTTCTCCACAGTCAGGAAGGAGTGGTTCATCACCACGGGCTCTTTCAGGTACAGTAATCCATCTTCCAGGTTCTCTGAGGATATAGGCAGCTGCTGCTGCCCCGAGTTGCTCTGCTGTGCAGTGCTGACCTCATTCTCATGCATAA